ACATCCAGAGTGGCGGCAAGCTCACAGAGCGATCTGGCGGCTCCATAACAGAAGGTATTGGTCAAGGCCGCGTAACAGACAACCTGAAGCCCGATATCGACCTCCTTGACGGCTCGGTTCACATCAGCGACGAGAAGACCATCGAAATGGTGTACAGATGTCTAGACGAGGAGGGTCTCTACTTGGGCGCCAGTTCATGTTTGAACGTTGTTGCAGCCAAAGAGGTAGCTGAGAAGCTGGGCAAGGGATCAACAGTCGTCACACTGCTGTGTGATGGCGCATACCGATATGCCGACCGTCTGTTTTCCAAGAAGTGGCTGGAACAGAAGAAGTTGTATGATGCTATACCCCAACACTTGCGCAAGTACATTGTACTGGAGTAGACTACCAAGTACATAAAAAAATAGAAACATAGGTCTACGAGAAACATATGCGCCTCTATCCCCGAGGCCGTTTTTGTGTATACTTCTACATCTGCATCTACAACAATACTGTCCCATATACCCACTCATATGCTTAGATCATTGGACTTCCACTCGCGAACCCATTCACAACCGCCGTCATGAGCTGGTTTGCAATCGCCGTCTTAGGCGGCAACCTCAGCCCACCCTCCTTATACTCAGGCCCAGGGCCCTCTCCCAGCCCACTCGTCCCCACACGCAACGCCTCCCTAACCTCCTCAGCCGTAAACCACTTTGCATCTTCCAACTCGGCGTCATGGCCCAGATGAATTGTCTCACCCTCCGGAATCGCCTGACCAACCGCACCAATCATGAGGTTAGCAGGGTACGGCCACGGCTGCGTGGAGTGGATAACCACACGACCGAGATGAATACCAGATTCCTCCCAAACCTCGCGACGGACGGCTTCCTCGACGCTCTCGGCTGGCTCGAGGAATCCAGCGAGGGTAGAATACCAGTTCGGGGGCCACCGCTTTTGGCGACCGAGAAGGATCTTTTTGCCGTCGGCGGACACGACAGCCATGATGACAGTGGGGTCGGTACGTGGGAAGGAGAGATTGGAGATTCCCGTGCGGGTGGCGCAGGGTGGTCGCTCGCCTTGATCGATGCTGGATGCAATGTCCTTGGGTGGACAGGTACGCTTGAAACCAGCGTTTACTGAGAGCGTCTTGTAGCCGCATGAAGCGCAGAAAGGGTTTCGGGCGTTCCAGTCGAGGAGGTGGCGGGCTTCGGCGTAGATTGCCGCTGGTGCTTGTCAGTTGCTGGGTTGTTTCTATGTGTTGAAAATGTATAGTATGAGAGGATGGTGATTGCGTACCTTCTTCAGCAGGGAGACTCATATGCATCCGTCCCTTGCTAAAGTCCAATCCTTGCTCTTGGAAGTTCTTGATCAACTCTTCTGCCTTCTCCTTGATGCTTTCTTGCGGTGTGACATCTACGGCGAACCACGGCTGGCCCTTGTAATGCTCCTTGTACTTGAACCCATCTTTCTTCTCGTCTAGACCTAAGAAGATAATCTGTGGTATATATAGAGTCGAATTGTACTGTGCAATGAGATCCTCCTCGGATTTCTCAAACGGATTATCGCCAATGATGGGCTTCACATCCGAGAAAGCACAGCGAGCAAGCTCGGTAGGGGACTTGACGAGCGGCTCGAGCTTGTTGAAGAGAAGGAAGGTAGTGGATGGATGGTGTAGTGCCGAAGACAGAAATTGGTGGTCGGGACGAAGGAAACCCACACGGTTTAATGGGGACCCTGCATGTCATGGTTAGAGATAAGCGTCTCGACGAGTGGATAGACCGCGTGTCCTCGTACCAGAGAAGTAATTGGCTACTTCCTTTCCGAATTTGCGGCTCAGCATCGAATCAACTCCTGGGTGTGCTGGCTCAGGGAGGTCTGGCTGCGGTAGCATCGTACTAGACTATAGGTAATGTGATATGGCACTCTTATCGTGTCGGGCAGTAGCGGAGAAGGAGGAGGAAGCCAATGTATATCTATTGTATGCAGAAAACAATCCTTTAAATGTGCAAACGCAAGGCTTGAACTAGCTCAAACGGATAATGTTATCGCGAACACCCGAAGACGAAGTGCAGGAGAAAAACAAAACCAGCGCTTGACGTAGTGTATATGCACTCTACTTTGCCGTCGTACCCCACAGACGAGGGGCCGCTAATCGGCACGACATTACAAACCCGCCAGCACGCTTGTTCCGACACCTCGGTCCACGTTCCGAAGCTTATCGATTAGTTTATTTGAACTTCTGGCATCATCACCACAGCGCACGACGTGTCGATGGAACAAAGACGGCGGCCATGAGTCAATTCCAAGTATGTAAACGCGCTCCTCGTTGTCTTCTCCAACAAGCGCAACGGGAAATAGACCTGCACGACTGACACGCTTTTTGTCTAGTTTGGCGCAGACTCGCGCTCTGGGTCCAGCGACGACTCTGATGACGACAACATCTCTACCCTTCCCTTTGCGACGCCGCTCCGCCGCTCCGATTTCCTCACTCCGGATTTCTCGCCTGCAAGTTATCTCTCTACTTTACATAACCGTCACCAAACGCTCGAGGACCTACGCTCAGAATTGCGCTCGCGATCCCAGCTTCTGTCCAAGGAGCTTCTCGATCTCGTCAATTCAAACTACCAGGACTTCCTCAACTTAGGAAACAGCTTGAATGGCGGAGAGGAGAAAGTAGAAGAAGTGAGAGTGGGGCTGCTAGGGTTCCGGAAGGAGATTGATGGATTGATGGATGTAGTGGGCAAGAGGGAGGAAGAGGTGCGCGAGCTACTAGAAGAGAAGCGCGACGTCAGGCGTAAAATCGAAGTCGGCAGACTGCTCATAGACTACGATGCTAGGCTCAAAGAACTGGAGGCTGAGCTCATGATCGAGCCATCGGGTCAAGAGCCTATTATAGTCGGAGAAGAGGTCTCGGATAGCGACGAGGATGAGGAAGAAGACGAAGAGGAGGGAAGCTACACCATTTCCGTCGCAAAATTAAGACGAAATGTAGTACATTACCAATTGCTGCTGGGATTGGAAAAAGAACTGGACGAGCATCCTTTTGTCGCGGCGCAGGCTGCAAGGAAAACAAAAGTGCGGACGACCTTGTTGATGGACTTGAGTACCGCATTACGGCAAGCGAAGAGCGCGGGAGCAGAAGGATCAGGGCGCGTTATGAAGATTATGAAGATTTACGCCGACATGGAGGAATCGGCAGAAGCAGTCAAGGTCCTCAAGACATTAAAGTCATCATAATGGGAGATCTTGACACCAGCATAGCGACGGCGTTCGGTATGGTACATTGTTCATACACCCACCCCTAGGGCTACATCTACAAAGGTCCGCTCAGCTCCTTTGGTGCTATCGAATTTGGCCCTCTAAATTCCCCGCTCAAAGTGAAACCCGGCGCATTCGTCGAGCTGAGCACCACCTCGTGAACTTCCTTGCCAATCCGGTCGCTCAATTGTGCCATGTCCTTCTTGAGCGCCTCCATGAATGCTTTGATATTCCTCTGCATCTCATCTGGTGTGAATCCCAATTGCCCTATTGCCATGCGAACAACACCTAGGCGTTCCCTGTATTCGCTTCCTCCCACCATGTTCCTCACACTTGTGCCTACTTGCGTGACTACTGTGCCAGTCTTTGTGCTGGGCATCAAGCCCTTGGGACCCAGCACTCGTCCTAGCCCCGCCTTGTTCATCTTCTGAAGGCTGTCGATGTGGCATATGCACCTATCGAATTCAACGATGCCTTCCTTGATTTGATTGAAGATTTCGTCCTCGCCAACAAGCGCGGCGCCCGCAGCGCGAGCTTCAGCAGCGGCTTTGGAATCCGGTGCGGCAATGACACAGATTCGTATGTCGGTCTTGACGGGATGTGGGAGTCGTAAGCGGTTTCGTACCACGGGGCCGTTTTTCAGCGTACGTAGGCGGACGTGCATCTCGTACTTTGAGGAGGAGGGGTTACGGCCTACTTCGAAGGCGCGGATATATCTATTCCCCAGTTAACACCTGCCCTTGCCAATGAGAGTACCCCAGAGTCCTAGCCGGAGACTTACTGCATCGCATCTATCAGCGAGAATTGATCTGCTTGCTTCAAGTCGTATTGCAGGAATGTGTTCCGCGTCTTCTTCTTTTTCTTCGGCTGTGCTTTGGTTGTTGCGCATCGTATCGTTTGGTACGGTAATGAGGCAATGCGTGGGACTTCGGGCCTCGCAGCGGCGATTGATGAGGTCGCAAGTCGGCCAAAAGGCGCTATTAACGATCGTGGGTGTGCCATTGCGGCGTTGGAGACGTTGATGGTGACTGCGGTGGTGCCAAAAGTTCGCCCGGAGATTCGGGAGTGCCAAGATATGACTGCGCTAACAAAACGTCGTATGCTTCTACTGTCATTGAGTTGACATCTGTACATCACTTGTTTCACAAAGCGGAATTTTTTATAAATTTGCAAATGAACAATATTCATAAATTAGCTTCTTAGCGATTTGGGGTCGATAAAACTATCCTCTCACTTTTCCCACTAGAAGTAATCAGAGTGTGCACAAACGGATAGTTAGGCATAAACATCTGACTTATGAATTAGTAGAGGTTACCAGTACCACTCGTACGACATCTACGATGCGCGACTTATGTCAGACATGTTAACAGGAAAATCTTGTTCTGTAGGAAGATGCATGCACGATCAGAGAATAGATCGTGGGAGCTGGTAAACATCCTAGCAGACACCCCAATCTTACGAAGACAAATTGAGTCATACATTTTCGACAACACAAATTCTATCGCAATTTAAGGCTGACATTTGTTCATTGTTGTGGTATACCGATGTTGGCCTTGAATCTTCGGAATCACTAACCCAAAGCTCAAGGGCGCTTTACCGTTTTCAATCCCTACTGAGTTCTACGAACGCCTATTGGCCAGCATACGGAATAGTCCATCCCGACATGTCTGCCTGAAATCCTATGAGAATACATGTATATATATTCGTTTCATGTTGATGGCAAATCTATAGTTACTTGTATCTCCAGTATTTTAAGCATCATGGAGCAAACTTTGTTCACGCCACAGCTCAAGTTGACGCTCATCACGACGGCGGAAAGAGGGAGCCAGGAACTCGAATGGCTGCATGAGTTACGCAGTGACGAAAAGGCTACATGGTGGAGGTTAGTTTTCACCACTTATCTTCTCTATACGGTAGACCTTTGTCTACTCTTATTCTACACAACAAAATCAACATTCAAAAAGACTGAAACTAATCCTCCAAAGTATCTACGGCCGTTCAAAATCCATCGAAGACACCGAGAAGGTCATGAAAGGAGCATTACCGACTACAGCCAACGAAGACGAAAAGAAATCCTACCGGGCCGTCTACGCCGTTCATGAACTCCTCGCTCCAACCAGCAACTCAACCAGTCAAGAAGACATCCCCGCACGACTGATCGGACTCATCACTCTCCGCTCCATCGACAAGGCCAGTCTCGCTTTACCACCTCACATATTCCCTGACTCCATCCACTCCCCAGATTGTCTAGTCGTTGAGCTCGGATACCAATTCCTGCCTGCCGCGTGGGGCAAAGGATTCGGAACACAAGCCGTAACTAAAGTCTTCGACGCATGTCAGCGTGAGCAAAAAATCTGGGACAATTACCAAAAGGTGTTCATTAGGGCGATTGTGAATGGCGAGAATCCGGCTAGTATGCGTGTTTTGATCAAGAGTGGTATGAAGGAGCTGGCGGTGCATGTCTGGGATGGCGATCGGATATGGCTTGGGGGCAAGTGGAGGACTACGGATAAACTTCATATCTTTGGGAAATTTGTGAAAGAGTGAGGATGGTTTGGCTTGCTGGTACAGTGTATACAGTGGTGACTCTAGTTATTATAAATCATTGGCCTTGTCTGGTAGACTCAATTTGAGAAAAAGAAAACTGAGCTTGATCGACGTTGCATATCTTGAATGAAGTGATTACTGGTTGCTATGTATAAACACTATTCATGTGATTGCTCCAGCAGCCACTTTCTCAAAACATCCGTCATAATCTCGTGCGTCCGACTCGTCAAATGCCCTGAGTTATACCAAAAGTAAGTATCCAATTCCGTGCATCCATATTTCCCAGGGTTAGTCAGAATATCTGGTTGATTATATCCTGGGCAATAGCCCGTCACGTTCTTGAACCCATACTCCTGATATCGATCCAACACATCATTCAGAACAGTATTAACATCGAATTGCAGAACCGCCGCATCGCAATGCTTTTGCGCAAACCCATCTGCATATGCAGCCTGGATATCGTTGAACAGTTCCACGAGCGAAGCATTGACGTTAGGTGTACCCGGTCCACGATCCAAAGGTGGGAGATTCATGAACAGAAAATTCCTATATCCCAGACTGTACACTTTTTCCACATTCTTGAAAACGTTTTCCTGCACCTTCTTGTAGGCTGGCGTGAAAGTAGCGTTTTTGCCCTGCGTAGCGACAAGGTCATTGATATCGTTGATACCGATCCAAACAGCCACCAGCGTATGCTTCTTATCCAGATGAATGGATTTGAGTGCGGGGTTACCGTAAGAAACGAATTGCTCGACTTGGCGCTCCAGGGAAACGGTGTGATTGTGATGAAGTGGTGTGAAGCCAGCTTCCTCAATCGTGTTGGCGCCTGCATAAGCAAAGTCCCAGAGTTGGATGTCGCATTCTTGTGGATCATGTAGCCCGTCTTCTACACCGCAGTCAGTCAGAAACTCGACCCAATTGGGTCCACCTTCTGCTGTTCCAGTGAGGTTCTGTATGATGCGGTTGGAAACGAGTTGCGCGGGTGTAAAGGGCAGGTTCAATTCGTCGCCAATGAATGAGTAGTTGGGGTGGCCGAGGGCGCCTTGAATGAATGTGTAGCTGTCACCAAAAGCTATCAGAGAGTCTACAGCAGTCCAGTCGAAAGTGGGCTTTCTAGCATTTGGAGATACTGGTATCGCTGCTGCGATGCTGGCGCAGGTGGCCAATGCGAGACGCGAAGTTGTGGATAGCTTCATGGCAGATAAATGTAATCATGAAAAAGGATTTGCTTTTTATTTTCATATTCGACATAACAGCTATAAATCACCCCCCCTGCCTTCGTATTTACCCACGCGGGGCTCGGATAATAGTGAAGCCACGGGTTAATTGTGTCCGAAAGAGAGTGACTCGGATAATTTAGGCATACGTAGATCTGCCTAGATTAGAACAGGGCCAGTTAAGGTATACGGAAACCAGGGTAACGTAACAACTTGCAGTATACATGTGCAGTAGCCTGTCTCTTCGTAGATACAACATCTTGATATTTAAGATATTGATATCTCCCAACGATGATATATAGGAGTCTATTTTCTTTTTAGGTTTAAATTCATTTGGTAATAGCTTAGCAGATAGTATCTACATAATAGTCTTGGTCATTCTCGCGTTGCGCTCTTCGCTCGCATCACTATGCAGATTCAATACTCACTTGTACATCATTAGTTTGTGATTGGTGGACTCTACCCCACACTTACCTAGATAACTCGCTACTAGTCGAAGAAGTTGATTGGTTGCGTAGCTTGGATCGAAGCGGGGGTTACCTAGCGAATCATAATCAAGTACATAACCAAAGAGCTGACTACCATGCACTCTTCACCAGTTTGCTATGTTCCACAACAAGGCTCAACCAGCGTGCTTGCTGTGTCACTGTGCTGTCCAGCCACATGAACGCGTCGCAGCAGGTATGCATTTCTCAAACTCTAAGACGGACGACTGACCAGCGAAAGCCTTACAGGACATCCAGCAACCTTTATTTCCCCTGTACAGACAATTGTTTTGCCAAAAAACGCATTGCTATCAATGTCTATTAGACACCGGTCCGAGATCTCACTGCGTTCATCGTGATTGCTATCAGTATTACCGTCATCTCTTTCCCGAATCACAACGACTACGACTTCGGGATCTGCTCGAACTGTGGCCCGACAATTTAGACTTCCTCAGTCGCCACAACGCCGAGAGAGAAAAACATGCCTACGAAGAATATTTCCCTCGTCCAGAAGCGGGATTATTCGCGCATATCACAAAGGATAACTTCGGGAACTTCCTCCGGTTGATAGCTGAGAAAGTACCACAAGAGCTTGTGCTAGATATCGCAGGATTCTCGTGGCCATGCGCCTTACAAAAACCAGCGACAATCTTCAGGGAAGGCCAGTCCTTACTGGATTTTGCAAGAAGTCAGAAGAGCGACCATCTTGAAGTCCTAACTTTCGCAGGAGAGGTAGCCCTGGTTCGTTACTGCAATTTCTTAGGACACCGCTATGCAACGAGTGTTGCCTTTCAAGAAAATACAGTCGTCGATTGTCAAAACGTCCTTTCTGTTGCCGTAACGCGGGATGAAGTAGGCGTGCTTGACATAAACTTCCAAGGTCAATTTCAGTACTCACGGCCTGGTCTTTGGTACCGATTTATCCAGGTCGAGACAGACAATCTGGAGCTTTGCGTTTCCACCAAGGTATGAAGCACGCAATCACGAAGTCAGTCACTGACATAGCCAGAACATCATTATGGATGTCGAGCTGGCAAGCATATATGCTCCGTTTTGGAATCCCTACTGGAATTACCAATTTCTATCTCAACCGGAAGTACGTGCATGGTATGCTCGCGATTGCCAAACATCTCTTCCTCAACGTATGAGGTATGTGGAGCTCAATGACGACATACAAGGAATCATTGTTGGTTGCTGTATAGATGGTTTCGCGAGCCTTGAAACCTATGACGGTAGTGGTAAACCACACAGCTCTGCTCGAGCCATGGACAAGTTTTCAACACGCACTACATACATTCGTTTTCCTCTTGCCCAGGGCGAGTTCATTACCGCTGCATGGATTCGTGAGCCGACCGATAATTCCAGCTTTCGCCAGTCAATTCTCGTGGTAAGTGGCATATTTGTTTGTGTGCATAACAAGGCTTATATCGAAACAGTTGAGCACATCCTTCCAGCGCACGTGTACCTTTGGGCATTACGTGCCTAGGGAAGACGAGTCTCGATACCGGTACGAACCGCTCGTTGAGCACAACACCCATCAAATCACGGGTTTCTGCTACAACGACAACGGGAACTCGTCTTCGCGACAAAAATACATTGGCGTCACTCACGACGAGAAGCCAATCGAACCGCTACCCGATCCGCCTTGGCAAGCCGCGTTTACGCCCCCAAATCATTGGATACCGCAGTGGTTCATGTCTTCTGCGTGTCTTGCTGGGGCAATCCGCGTACAGACATTTGTAAATAACAAAGAATCCCACAGACCGACCATGGGGATGTTGCTCTCGTATGAAAGCCATCAAGAGTCAATAGGGCAATATAGATTTGACTGGGATGTCGAGGATCTTGATGTGACAGCACCGATGTATTTCTTTTCTGGAGATACTAAATTCGGTCCTTACGTAAAGGTCATTTGCAACGGCGAGGAGAAGCCGGATTGGAAAAAGATTCCTCGGACGGCAAGGCTCGTGTGGTGGTTTACGGCTGTTTGTTCGGATTTAGATGTGCTTACAACGTAGTTTGGGAGCACAGAGCGTGGATCCCAACGCAGTTAGTTTTTTTTTCTCTTCTTCCGAAATTGATTTCATCCTGGTTGGTAGTAACGCTACAATGCAACAAAATATGATTGATGATAAACGACAAAAAGTCCATGCATAGCGTCTCCTGTGGGGAACGCTGGCATCCCGCTGGGCTGTGACAATACGAACACTTTTACTAAGAGCTTGGCATACCAGTCCCATTCCAGTCATGATAAATATCAAGCTGTCCATGTACGAGTAGTCGTATGTGAGGCTACGGTCCGAATGGTACACCGGACATTACTCACACAAGTCATCCGAGGGTCCAGTGCACACACACACACACGTCTCCTACGCATCCATGTCTCTAGTTATCACACCACAGCCATGACGCTTTCTTGTCGTTTCCCCCTTCTCTCCTCGGAACAGGGCACTTGCCGCTTCTGAACCCCCCCACCCCGCGGATACCGGGATCCGAAGCGGGCAGACCACTTGTTTTAGTGTTGAGGCTTACACCCGGGGGGCATTTGTGCGTTTGTGAGGCGGTGAAGCCATGGTATACTTATATATTACACACAATGTGTATTATACGGGGAAAGGGCGAATGGCGAAGGGGGGGGGTTTTTTTTTTAAAAAAAAAGGGCGAAGGGTAAAAAAAAAGAGGGAAGGGTGGTTGGTGGTTCTGGCCTATCGGATTTCATGGTTTTGATGGTTATATATATTGACTCGAACAAATCTGAGTTGGATGGGGCGGTGTGGCGCACGACTTGTGTGTGGCGCAGCACGTGTAAGGGAAGGCGGGATAAGGAGAGGGGGAGGGCCAGCAAATGGCCATTCCTGCTTATCATCAATTTTCGGCCGATGCGCCGGGTGTCACAGACTCTTTTTGCTTGGGGCAGACGAGAAAGAGAGGGCTTGCGGTGAGGTGAGGTGGTTTTGTTTCAAGGGTTTAGGGCTTGGGGCTGGGGCTGGGCATTGGTGTTGGCATGGTTGGGTGGAAAGTTTGTTTGGCGAATGGGATTGGATGGGGAGGGTTTGTGATGTCAGAGGTAAGGATGAGATGGCGAGAAAGGCGGAATATGCGGGATAGGCGAAGATTCAAGGGGAGCTGGGTAATTGGGCTACGGCACATGGGCTACGGCAGGTGGAAGACATGGTGAGATGTGACAACACATCTAGGTTGGATTGCTCCGAAGTGTCGAGGTGCATGATACGAGGGGTTGAAGAGGGTGTGGAGGGGGGGTGATCTAGCATGCGTGGTTTTTTTGGGGGGGTGTTGGAGTGGGAATTTGTTTACACGTGGTGTGTAGATCGAAGATGGATGGGGGAAGCAAGATCTATCGTCGCTGTGTAACGGTAAGTAGTACAACCCACGTACGTCGTGTGTAGTAGTAGAGTAGCATGTAAAAGTGTGGCGTAACACAACGGTACGTACTCTGCAAGTCTCCAGTACAGGGGTAAAGCGGGCATAATAAAACTTCCCGGGCCCGCGCGCACGAATGAATGCATACTAAAACCCAAAGGCCTGGGCGGGCGCACGACGCCCCTCAGACGCCCCTTGGCATCATCGCGCCTCACACCGCGATAAGCCGGGAAATCCATTCGCAATGTTCATCTGGAACCACCCCCGGTTTCCACCCAACCGTGGTTTGGAATTTTCTCGCCCTCAGCCCTCTTGCCTCTCCACCCCCCCTTTTTTATATCAAGGAACCATGTCCGTTACCCACAATGCTCTTAAACGGTCCTTTGTTGCGACGCGCTATCGGGTCGGTCCGTTGATGTAATGCTCTCCTTCTGCCACCGCCGCCGCCGCTGATTAACGAACGCTTGACCAACTCAGCTTTCATTGCTGTCCGCGCATTGTCCCCCCATCATAACTGGCTGTGCTTCCGTCGTCTTTGTGACTAGATCGGAACTCTTTTTTTTTCTCCTTATCCTTTTTCTGATTTGCTGTGCAACGGGACGATCGACACCCGACGGCTTTTCTATAGTCACGCGTTTTCTTTCGCCTATAGGGCGTTCGCAGGGCAATCATGTTCGGCCCCTGGTTGTCCTTCTTTGCATGGCTGAAGCAGCGCACTCCGCCGTCGCTCAAGGTACTCACGCCGAATGCTAATTTTATCACACTTCACTGTATGTATGCGATTAGAGAAAAACCTTGACGTGTATACTTACGAATGGGTAGATGGATACATCATCTCGTGGACGCTCATCGGCTCCGTCATCATGTATGGCAATGGCCGCATCCCATATATCGATGCGCTCTTCTTTGCCAGTGGCGCAGCAACACAGAGTGGTCTAAACACGTATGTATAAAAAAAAAGTCTTGGGCGCATGGTGATCCCAAACTGACGGATTGCGTAGAGTTGATGTCAATAACCTCGCTTTGTATCAGCAGGTACGCGCACGACCGGAATACTAGGAGATCAACATTTTTCTGACCAACTGCAGATCACGCTATATCTCATGACATGTCTATGCACGCCCATCTTCATCCACAGCTCTGTCGTCGTCGTCCGTCTATACTGGTTCGAAAAGCGGTTTCAAAACATTGTGCTGGAAAGGGGTAGCAGGAGCGGCCGGACGCGAACATTGTCGAGGCGCAAGAGCGAGATGGACAAAACCAATGGCGCGGATCCGGGACAAGAAGAGCAGGCGGTTGGCTCGCGCGAAATCCGCGTCATGAGGGACTCCAATGGACATACGCAGGGCGGCACAATTGAAAATGATATCGCGTTTAGCGATGGACTGGATTATACTGGCAACGGCATTCGTCCCAGACGGCGGTCGAGTTCGAGTGAAGATGACATGCCACCGTTTCGCCCACAGACTCCGCCGCAAAGTACTCCAGCAGGCATTGTATGGGCGGATAATCTCAACACACCAGCGAATCAGAAACCAATCAGAAGTTCGGTCGAAGAATCTCCTGGCAGCCGGCTTCCCGAGATTAATAAAGAAAAGAGTATTGCATTTGTGGAGGCTCAGCGCAATCCGACGACACGGAACAAGTTGCGCATTCCAGGCCCGCGCGACTTTGATCAAGGTCTTATTCCAGAAGCAGTCGAGGGCGAGGGAGAACTCGATCGAGTTGCGAGTAGAATGTCGCAGGATTCTCGTGCACAACCTGTCCAGAAGAACAGGCGCTCCAACTCGCTCCCTTTTGCTTTGAGTGGAGACGACCGGGCTTTGAAGAATCACATCACCATCGACGTCCCTGATAGACAACGACCCAACGGACATTCTGTCTACGACCGATCAAGAACAAACGAAGTCGACCCCAGTGGACCTTCAGCGTCGATGCAGCTCCGTAACAGATCGCGCACAAGGACCTTTGCAAGCTTTCTTTCTAGGAATAAGGATGAAGACGAAGACCCAATGCCCTATCTCAGCTGGACACCTACTATAGGACGCAACTCCAACTTTGTTGATTTGACCGAGGAGCAAAGAGAGGAGCTGGGCGGTATCGAGTACCGGGCTTTGAAATTGCTAGCAGTCATTCTTACCGTCTTCTACCTTGGCTGGCACATTGTTGGAGTCATCTCCCTGGCGCCATGGATTTCGCATCGTGCCCAGTACAGGGCGGTTGTGGAGAAAGTTGGTGTTCACCCGACTTGGTGGGGCTTCTTCACTTCTGCGTCGCTGTTCAACGATCTTGGATTCACTCTTACTCCGGACTCGATGGTTTCTTTTCAATTGACGGTCTGGCCCCTGCTCATCGGTACTTTCCTCATCATCATCGGAAACACGGGATTCCCTTGCATGCTCCGTTTTACCATCTGGATCTACTCCAAGTTGGTGCCCAAGGGCAGTGGTATATGGGAGGAACTCCGTTTCTTGCTTGACCACCCCCGTCGATGCTTCACGCTGCTGTTCCCTAGCCAGGCGAACTGGTGGCTCTTCTGGATCCTGATTATCCTCAACGGCGTCGATCTTATCTTCTTCATCATCCTCGATCTCGACGACCCAACCGTCACCTCCCTCTCGGGCGGCCACCGCTTCCTCGCCGGTCTCTTCCAAGCCGCCTCGACCCGCACCGCCGGTTTCGCCGTCGTCAACATCGCCGACCTGCACCCCGCCGTCCAAGTCAGCTACCTAATCATGATGTACATCTCCATCTTCCCCATCGCCATGTCCATCCGTCAATCCAATGTCTACGAAGAAAAATCCCTTGGCGTCTGGGCCGACAACGAACTCGACGACGCAAAATCCAGCTACCTCTCCCACCATCTCCGCCGCCAACTCTCCTTCGACCTCTGGTTCGTCTTCCTCGGCTTCTTCCTCATCGCCATCATCGAAGGCGCCCGCCTCGAAAACACAAACGAATACGCCTTCTCCCTCTTCTCCGTCCTCTTCGAAATCGTCTCCGCATACGGCACCGTAGGCCTCAGCCAGGGCTACCCGGGCACCAACGCCTCTTTTTCCGCACAATTCAAACCTCTTTCTAAACTCATCATCATCGCCATGCAAATCCGCGGCCGCCATCGCGGTCTCCCTTACGCCCTTGACCGCGCCATCTTGCTCCCCTCGGAAACTCGGTACCAGAAGGAGAACGAGGAGGCGACGCGAAGGGCCCGCCGCGGTAGTAACGCCGTCGACATGGGTTTCGGCTATAGTACCGATCGCATTACCCGTACCGGCACCATGCTCAGTCGTCGTAGCACTGCGAGTGTGAATGGGGAGAGGGTTGTTACCGAGACGCGGCCAGAGCAGCTAAAGAGGATTCTTAGTGGTGCTTTTACCGCCGGTCCGACGGGCTTGAGAGAAAAGACAAACTAGAGATATACGTCCTGTTGTTGTCGTTGTTGATCTTGTTGTTTGTTTGTTTTGTTTTTTTTTCTCTATCGAGCGCAAGTTCTATATACGTACATGCTTTTTTTTGTCTTTTTTTTGGTTTTTGGTTAACTACTACTACTACTAGATAGAACTGGGGATTATGGGTTCAAAGCTCTAGTCCTTGTCATGAGCGGTTTGTTTTGTTTTTTTTCCCATGTTGGGACCGA